CATTGACCAGACCGAGAGGATGATGACAGAGCGACTCGACAGACATGATCGCCGTCTTCGTGCGATCGAGGATCATTTCCATATCCGTCGGTCACCTACTCCGCCGCCTCAGCAGGAGGAGGGGCATATTGGTACATCACAGGGTCCTCATGGAAATGAGGAGGCAGTAGACCCTCGTTCTGAGCAGCCATGAAAATCTTTAGCTGATTACATCTTTTGTTGCTATATTTTTCTTTTATTGTGTTCGGTTTAAACTTTGTAGTTTTCATATTGGATTCTCTTGTGCTACTCATGGTTTTTTGTACTCTTTTGTTTCATTGTGAACAGAATTTGGATGATCGTGAGGATTAATGGCTTCAAATTGAATCACCACTTATTTTGAGGGAAGTTTCGGTTTCTATTACCTTCTTCACAATGAGGACATTGTTAAATTTAAGTGTGGGGGAGGGATTACTTTATCTTATGGGGATTGTGTCTTGAAATGCATGATTTGAGTTGTCTATAGTTTAAAAATATTGGAATTTTATTTGGAAATGTTGTATTGTAGTTAATTTTCTTGAAATTGAGGTTGTTGACAGGGAGTTTTATCCATTTTTATGGGAAAACTCTATAAAAATTTTTAAAAATATTTTCCAATAATTCCAGTTAATGGCCAAAATGTTCAATTCTGTGAATTGTGAGTGGATTAATGAGTGGATTAAATGAGTGATTTAATGCATTAATTTTGTGAAATTGTGAAGGATATCGATATATGAAGTTCATGCACGAGCTGAAAGAAGTGTAAGGATTGTCCAGAGGATAAAGTACACAAGAAATTAGGAGCAAAAATGAAGGAAAAAGGAAAGAAGCGAAAAAACTGGAAATTTAATGGCACGGATCCGAGCTCGGATCCGTGAGAGCAAAGAGAGATCCGATCCCTCGTCTGTACTTCTGGACGAGTGTATCCGAGATCAGAAGATCCGACCCCGGATCCATCATGGGAAGTTCTCGGATCCTAAAGATCCGAGCTCGGATCTTTAGGATCAACCCTCGGATCCGAGACTCGGATCTGTCTCTCTCTTCAGCAAGTGACACAGCCGTTTTCCTTTACCTTTCTCACAACTTTTCCAGCTATTTTGAGGGACAGAAATCGGTGGCACATGCTTCTGCAACAAAAGAGAATACCAAATGAGTTGTAGACAAAAGAAAACATCATATCTTTGGTTCAGCTACTGACTACATTAGAGATAGCACTCAGGGTTTGAGGCTTTTAGTATTCAGGGTTTTAGGGTTTTAGAGATCAAGATTTAGTGTTTTGGGAGAATAGCACTTTCGGGTTTAGGGTTGTAGAATTTTAGTTTGACAATAGTGTGCTTTGATTAGGACTTTGGATTTTTAATTAAAATAGTAATCCTATCGTGCCGCAAAAATATTTTTTAATGGATTTTAATAAACCCAACAACCTTGATTTAATGTTTTAGGGTTTACAAGGATTTGGTTTCTAAGATTTACGATTTAGTGTTTTACGACTTTAGCACTTAGGGTTTTAGGATTTTTGCATGACAATAAATTTGCCTTGATTATCGCTTTATTTTTTTAATCAAAATAGTAATCCTGCCAATAATTGTAAAAGGTAAAACACGCAAGATTTAATCGCTAGATATTTGATTTAATTTTTTTTCTTTTCCTTTTCAACTACCAAACAAATAACATGCACTTCATAAAAATAACTTATATAATTTTTTTAAATAACATTGCGTTATGAAATTTCTAAAATTACAGTTGAAATTGTAACAGATATTAATGACTATTAACTATTAGATTCTTATAACTAATATTCATCGGTGTCAACAAATAAATACGATTCATTAATAACAAAGGAAAATTAGAATTTGATAAAAAAAATTATTTGATAAAAAAGGAAAAAAAGTTAGTATTTTATTCATAAAATATAGTCAACACCTTACATGTTAACAATTTCATTCTATTTTTACATTGATATATGAAATAGAAAGAACTATGCATGTGTACTTTTTCCACCATTTAAATGTATTATAATAAAATAACGCATTTCCAACTGTACAATTACCAATTTTTTTAATATAAAATAAATATGATTTTTTTTAAGGCACATATTTGATGACTTTAGGCACGTGCAAGTTTTAAAATAAAAAAAAATTTATTCCTCTGCTAATTACAGATTTTTAAATAACATTTCTCTAACATTTCTCCGAAATATAAGATTTTAGTAGAGTTTTTAAAATAAGATTTTACTACCGACAGCATTTTAGTAAAGTCAAATTCTACAAAACAAACAACATTTACAGTTAATTTTACATTTTGGTGGGAGCTCGTAAATTTCATTTAAAATTTTTTTTCTAGCAAGTTTGAATTTAATTTTCTGAAAGTCATACTTATAAATGCGAAATCTAACAAAAAAATTAAATACAATTTTTGGAGGTCAAATTTATCAAATGCGAGCTATTTGAAAAATTTTATTTAGGAGCTCGCATTTAGCTCTTACTATTTTCTGGAAAAAATTCTCTAGCTCCCAAAAAAAAAGCAAAAAAATTTAAATTATACTTAGTGGGAGCTCTATTGAGTAGACCTCGCATTCTGTGAATGCGAGCTCTATTGCCCTCCGAAAAAAAAAATTTTTAAGGAATGCGAACGCCAATGCGAGATCTTTAAACATTTTGTTTTAATACAAAAAAATCTCTACCTCCGAAAAAAAAATAAGCACAAAAATTTTACTGGGCTCTGCTGAGCTCGCATTTCGCGAATACGAAGACCCCCCTACGGAATTCCTCACCAAAATCGCCCCTTTTGTAGAATTTTTTAAAAATTCATCACAAAATTGGAAATTTCTCCAAATTCGTCCCATGACACAAACAAAAACCTCAAGGGATTTCCACGCACTTGCTTAGTTACCTTATTATTATAGAAAGGTTTCTATTTTTTCATTTTTGTAAGTCCATGTATCATTGATCAAGATAAGAAAAGAATGGTTATAACTTGGTTGCAACGTTAACTTCCAGCCAATTGGAGCCTATCACAAAATGTACGAAAGGTTTCTATTTTTTCATTTTTGTAAGTCCATGTATCATTGATCAAGATAAGAAAAGAATGGTTACAACTTGGTTGCGACGTTAACTTCCAGCCAATAGGAGCCTATCACAAAATTTACGAAACAGAATATGTAGCTATACAATTATAAAAACAAACTAGGGTTAAGTAGGGTATCACTATTGATGCTCTTGAAAAATAGGGTTAGTTAAAAAATATTCCTCTTAAGGCTTAACTAATTTTGCACTTTATCCCTTAACGTTATTTTTTTCTCACTTTACCTCCTAAATTGTTAGTCAATTCTAATATTGCATAATGGAAATATCAAAAAGATATTGATACTCCTAATGGTTAATTACAATAAATCCCTTTAAGATATGGCCATTTTTGCACATTACCTTCTAATATCATTTTTCTCTTAATTTGTCTATTTGCCCCTAAAACGATTAGTTAATTCTAATATTTTGTACCACTCACGACAATAATGTTTGAAAAAATTAATATCCCTAACATAATTATAATATTATTATATATTTATGAATATTGGTCTTGTTAAATTTTATCCCCATAATTACAAGTTTTTTAGATAAAGAAAAATATTGCACTCATCTCACGTGATAAGGAAAAACATATTATGCAAAACTAAACTATGAAAATATTCTATAGATGGGATTTTCTTGGATTGGAGATTATTTGAAAATTTTTTTAAGAATAGTAGCACTTTTTGCAATTTGATATTTGTAAGACAAAAAAGTGGTTGAAAAAAATAAAATGATTGAAAAACATGTTTAGATATAATTAAAAAAATTAGCAATCCAAATAAATTTTAATAGCATCTAAGCATGGTATATTAAAGAACAACTTTGGAAACTGTGAACTCCAAATCAACTATGTTTCTCTTTTTTAGTATTACCAACCAAAAAAATGTATACTTCCATATAGAAAAAAAAATCTAACTACTAAAAGAAATGTTTAGCTATATTCCCAGAGAAAAAGTGATAATAATAATATTTTTACATTTTAATTTTTAATAACAATTTGTTACAAACCTCGTTGAGGACAACAAGACCTGACATCTAGACAAGCCACCAGATTGTTTTAAGGGCAAGAGGAAACCCGTAATAGAAAAATATTTTCAAAGTTCAAGACTTTCTGCTTGTTTACTTTGGGCTAGTATTTTGGATGGATGCAGCATATACCCCCTAGCACAAGTTTTGCTACGGTGCTCCTGAGAATATGATATCATGAAACGTCTCAATTCATTGCCACAAATCGCCACCTTCCCTGCATCACCACGCTGCCTATCTTCCTCGTCCCCTGCCCCCGTCCTTTCCCTCCCGTAACTAGCCCCAACATCTACCCCGTTAATTTTTCTTCTACTTCAAAAGTTCGCAATTTCCTCATCTTTTCCCTCTAGACGTCCTTCACTGGGTTGGGTTTTTTTGTTCTCAATTTCGACTACTCATTCAACGCAAATCAGTTTTAATTTAGTAAGAGATTTCTGGATATTTTTAAGAGCTTTCAATAAATAAACTCCAAGGAGAAAGCTGTCATAATATCAGTAAAGTGGGAATGGAGGTTTAGGCTAATAGTGAGAAGGTGCAGCATCCAACAGGTTGGTGGTGCTTTTTATTCTCCTTATCTCAATAGTAGCACTTTTTATTTGTTTAATCGGTCATGTAAAAAAAATTATCATTATCTACTGAAGTGGTGCCCTCAAGTTGAGTTCTATGTAGTTAGGTTCAGTTGATTAATTCTTATAACTTCTAGTGTAAACTCATATGGTTTTGATTTAATCGTGATTTTTACGCCAACTCAGCCGAATGTTATGCTTAGACCAAATTTATACCATTTTACGCTAAATATTGTAAGAGTTACATAACCTAGCAGAACTGAACTACAATTCAACTTGAGAGGCCTTGGATCAAATAATCTACTCGCACACAATCAAAATTAGTTGCGATAAAACTGCTGAAAATTCAACTCCATTTGACATTTCTAGGAGGAACTCATAACAATAAATGAAGAAGTGCACTAGAACTCGAAAGTCGAAACTTGCCGCTCCAGGACACCTTATCATTCATCTCCCACCAGCAATTGGAACCACCATATGCTCCATTATGCTATGACTCTCAGTATGTGTGCAGCTAGAATCACCACTGTCGACATGTGCTTTTGTTGATTGCATACCAAACAAGGAGGCATCAGCGTCGGCGAAATCAATCTTAGAAACTTGAATTGGAGATTGCTTTGCTCTTATTTCCAATACCTCAAGTTCTCTTGCTATATTCTTCATAGATGGTCTATCATCACCTTTTATACTCAAGCAAGATTTCGCAATCATTGCAACTTCTTTCAAAAGCTCAATACTTACATCGCACATAATGTTGCGATCAAGAACCTGGACCAAGTGACCACTTTTCAGTGAAGAAATGAAATAATTTGCAAGAAACTTCTCTTCCTCCACTCTATCCAATGATAATGCCTTCTCACTTGTCAGTAGCTCTATAAGAACTACCCCAAAGCTGTAAACATCACTTTTCTCTGTCAACAAACCTGTTAGCATGTACTCGGGGTCCAAGTAGCCAAATGTTCCTTGCACCATTGTAGATACTTGATTTTCATCTAAAGGAGCCAATTTTGATATTCCAAAGTCCGTGACTTTTGCAGTGTAGTTTTGATCTAGAAGTATGTTTGCCGATTTGATATCTCTATGGATAATCGGTGGTGAAGCTACTGAGTGCAAATATGAGAGAACTCCAGCAATTTCTGATGCTATTCTTAATCGGATATTCCAAGAAAGATGATGTGATTTTGTTGTGCTGCTTAAATGCTCGGAGAGAGTACCATTGTCGATGAACTCATAAACAAGTAATGGCACTTCCGTCTCTAAGCAACAACCTAGAAGTTTAACGACATTTCTACTATTAACTTGGGAAAGCATAATCACCTCATTAATAAACTGATCAACTTGATTTTCGTTAACTTCTCTGGACCTCTTAATGGCAACAGTACAAGAATTATGGTCTACTAAGATTCCTTTGAAAACTGTGCCGTATCCTCCACGACCAATAATTCGAGTTTCCTCGAAATTATTGGTTGCCTTTCGTAGTTCTTCAAGAGTGAAAATTCTAGCAACATTTGTGTTTCTTCCTTCTTGAGCCAGTCGTTGCTGTAGCATTAATCCACCATTTTTCTGGAAAAACCCCTCCTTCAATCTGTTTTCCCTTCTTTTCCTCAATTCCAAACACAAATAAAAGCAGCAGAAAAGTAGAATTGCTGTGCCTGTGCCAACACCTGTTGACAAATTTGACTGAAAAATTAGCAAATGAAGAGATCTATCGGATACTTTGCAGCTAAAGACTCTAATTTTGCAAGTGATTTTCAAGTTTCATGTTCTTTCACTACCTGGTAAAGAAAAGAATTAGGTTTCTTTCTCTCTTATACTATGATTAGTTGCCATCTTAAACCAAATGGAACGGGTTTCAAGAAATCTTCTTTTTTTTTTTTTTTTTTTCATGAATACTTTTTTTTATTTATTTTTTTATTATTTTATAAAAATTTCGGCAGAGTTTCCCCTTAAAAAAGGACGAAACTCCCTGCCATCAAACCACAATTTGACAATAAATTTACAAGCTAGTGAAAGTTTAAGCATTTAAAAACTGAAATTAAGATTAAATCTTCATTTTTCCATATCAGGATGTCTTCCAGTGAATCTGAAGGATGATCTTTGAAGATTTTAGCAGTCAATCTTCCTCCCTTGATGTCCTTCTAACCGCCATTTTCACCTTCATTGGCCTTTTCTGCTTCTTATTCCAATTCATGCCAGACACCGTGTACGAAACGTAGGAAATCCTAATCGATCTAATCTAATAGCCCCCCTAACCAATTGCGGCAATTCTGAGAATGTATTAAACACATGACCTGCACTAGAATCAGCACCAAAATTTGCCAAATGATCTGCAGGTGCGTTTGCTTCCCTGTAGCAGTGTGTGATCGATGTGAAATATTGCTTGAACATCATCAACTCATCCAGATCTCTCTGTAAACGCCAAGGACAAGCACTAGTCCCTTGAACAATGTGAACCAGGGTGAGAGAATCCGCCTCTAAGTGTAACTCCAAGCACCCTCGAATCACACAATGTCTAACGCCCCATAGCAACGCTCGAAGTTCCGCCTGCATGCTGGTTATCACCCCGAAGGGCTCCGCGTAGCCGAATACAAAATTTCCTCGACTATCCCGCACAAGCCCACCCCCCCCACTCCTTCCTGGGTTCCCCCGAGAACATCCATCTGAATTCAACTTATAGCCTCTACGTGGAGTTACCCAGTAAACTGGCCTAATAACCATCCGCCTTTGATGACTACCTAATTCGAGAAGCAACCCTTCCCATGTAGGGGCAGAAGGCTGCACCCCCGGGAACCGTGACTGAAGGAAATCATGCAGAAACTGAACAATCCGATTCACCGTAGGCCTGATCCTCATCTTCCGACCTTCAAACACCCCTTCATTCCTAGCCTTCCATAAAACCCAGCATACCACCGAAGGAAGTATATTATGCAAAAACTTTACACGATCATTAGTCCCCCTCCTTAACCAACAAGACCACACCATATGACGCACCGTATGCACCCCACTAAACTCACCAGCAGTACTCTCGAAGTGTCGCCAGACCAATCGTGCCCCTTCTCCTGAGCAAAACACATGATTCAAATCCTCCTCCTGGGGATTCTGACAACACAAGCATCTAGATGGGCCACAAACCCCAAACCTCTTTAGGCGATCCATAAGAGGGAGCCTCCCCTGTAGTAGTCGCAGCATAAAGAAAGAAACCTTGACTGGAAGACCCTGCTGCCATATACGACCAAAAAGCCAAGAATTGTCATTGGATTGACGGATCAATGAGTAAGCCGATGCAGTGGAAAAAACACCCGAGTTCGTCAATGCCCATACCATTGTATCATTTCCCCTATCGGTAGGAGGGTCAATCTCCAAAACCTGCGTAACCAATTCTCCATCCAAGAATTGATGGAGCATGTCCACATTCCAAGCCCGCCGATCTACAAAATCAACCACCGAATGATCATGGAAGACCTCAACCTTGTCACAAAGCGCACCTGACCCCATCCAATTATCATGCCAAAAGTCCAAAGCCCCCTCCCGAACTACCCAGCTAATATTATCCTCCCCAAAACGCTGCATTGTAACCATCCTCTGCCAAACTTGGGATCCCGGATGCCCAATATCAGCAAGACAAGGGTGATGACCTGCACAATACTTCTGGGACATAAACTTTGCCCATAATGATTGTTGTTGTCGAAATTTCCACCAGAGTTTAATGGAAAATGAGTCGTAGACCTGTTTCAAACCCCGCAGGCCTACACCCCCTTCATCCTTCGGCCGACACAAATCTGCCCAACGTATCCAATGGAATTTATCCCCGAAATTCGAAGATCCCCACAAGAACTTGGCGAACAATTTCTCTATGACCATCAACATCCCTTTTGGAGGGGACGCGGCTGCCAGCAAGTGAATTGGCATAGAGGATAACACGCTCTGAATCAACACCACCCTGCCTCCTAGCGATAATATCTGGTTTTTCCAACTCAAAATCCGATTCGCCACCGCATTGTATATATCCGTATAGTAAACCTTCTTGCTCCTTCCGGTATACAAGGGACAACCAAGGTACCGTATTGGAAAGTCGCGTTTATTATACCCTAGTATCTGGTTAACAACCGCTGCCCTCTGAGATGGTGCCCGTGGATGAGTAAGGAAACAACTCTTCTGAGGGTTGATTCGCTGACCTGATGCCTCATTATAATCATCCAAAACCCGTTTAATCAGACGTAGGGATGACTTGGCCCCACTGGAAAAGATAATCACGTCATCGGCGAATGCCAAATGCGTAATTATAGAACAATGAGGAGGAACTTTGAATGGAGTAAATCCTCTTTGTGTGGGTAGCGTGTTGAGGGTTCTAGACAGCACCTCAGCTCCGATAACGAATAAGGCTGGTGAAATTGGATCCCCTTGCCGTAAACCCCGTGAAGATCTGAAAAAGCCGTTTGAACCACCATTAACAAGTACCGAGAACCACACATTCGATATTAAGCGCCAAATCATGTCTATCCAGGTCTCACTGAATCCGAAATATCGTAGCACCTGTAGGAGAAAGGGCCATGAGACTTTATCATAAGCCTTCATCATGTCTAACTTGATGACCACATTGCCACCCCGATTTGATTTCCCGATATCGGCTACTAACTCCTGAGCTAACAAGAAATTATCTGTAATCTGCCTCCCTTGGACAAACCCGCTTTGCTGTGGAGATATAATCCGGGGTAATATCATCGCCAACCTTGCCGATAACAGCTTGGAGATGATTTTGTTAGTAAAGTTGCACAGACTGATTGGACGAAAATGCTTAAAATCTTGGGGGTTCTCCACTTTTGGCAGCAACACAATTGAGGTAGCCGTGATACTCCTAGGTAGTTCAGCACCGCAGAAAAAGCTGACAACCGCCCGGTATAAATCCGATGCCACTACCTCCCAAGCAAAGGTAAAGAATTTCCCTGTAAACCCGTCCGGGCCGGCTGCGCTCTCTCCATCCATAGCAAAGACTATGTCTTTAACTTCTGTAAGAGATGGAATGTCCGTTAACCGTGAGTTTTCCTGGTCTGTTATCAGTTTAGGTATGATCTCCAGACCGGTAAGGGAGGGAAGATCCCCCTCTGCCGTGAAAAGATCCTTAAAGAAACCCACCGCTGCCTCCCCAATTTGGCATTCCCCCTCGATCCACTCTCCAGCAGTACCCCTGACTCGATGAATTACTGCCCTACGTCTCCTTTCCGTAACCAAGGAGTGGAAATATTTGGTGTTCCTATCTCCGTCCGAAAGCCACTTAACCCGCGCCTTTTGTCTCCAAAAACCCTCCTCAACTACAAGCGCTCGGCGCAATCGAGCCCGAGCATGATGTAACTCGCTCCGTCGCTGCTCAGTAGGATCGAGGTCGTATGCTGTCTCAGACTCGGTTACCACACGCTCTGCACTACGTACCCCTTCAAAAATATCCCCAAATGTCGTCCTAGACCACTGCTTGAGGGCATTTTTAACATTCCTCAACTTCGATGCCAATACTTGCAAAGGAGAGCCATTGACTGGATGAACCCAACAGTCCTTGATAACCCCCAGAAAATCAGGATGAGTGGTCCAGATGTTTAAGAAACGAAACGGCTTGGGTTTATTGTCTAGCCTCGTATCCACCGATAGCAACAAGGGAGCATGATCCGACGGGTCACGGCCTAAATGTTGCACCATGAATTGGTACGGTAGCTCCATTGCACTCCCACACAGAAGTAAGCGATCCAGACGCTTCCAGATCCGCGCCGTTCCCGAACGATTATTACACCATGTAAACCTTGACCCAGAGAATCCCGCATCACTGACACCAGCTAGCGCCATAAAATTCAGAAAGTCTGATCCCTCCGACGGTCTAAATGGCAATCCACCCCTCTTCTCCTCTGTATTTGTGACCACATTGAAATCCCCCACCAAAAACCAAGGATTGAAGGCGGGTTTATCCTGCAAAAGTGCATTCCACAAATCCTCTCTGTCCTGCTGCGTACACTTCGCGTGTATACAAGACAAAATAATGGAGTCTTGGAAAAGATGAGATTGTACTCTAATAGTTATATGTTGGGGAGACTCCCCTGTAATCTGACACGTAAACAATGACCGGTAGAAAATCCAAACAGAACCCCAATGATTGAACATGCAACAATCCATCCCCAATTTAATTCTAATATCAGTAATTGACTCCACCCTCAACTTAGGTTCAACAACAACCACCAATTGAAGATCATACAATTTAATAAGTTTCCTTAACCGCCTTAAATTAGGAGCACGAGCTACCCCTCTTATATTCCAAAAAAGTAACTTAATCATCAGAAAGGACAGAAAAAGAATTTGTTGAAGAACTAACCATGGAGCGTAGTGTTCTATCTGACGGGAGACCAACCCGGAGACCACGCGACCTTGCATCCATTCGCTCCTTACGAACAACTTCTTCTAGTTCCAGGGTACCCCCCGTGTCTATATGCCCGGTCTCTAGTGATGACTCTTCTTGTCGGATAAGATCCTTGCCCCTAGGGGAGAGGGTACCGACCCTTCGTTGAGTATCTTGTATGTCTTCAACTTGCCCCTCAGCAGAACGTACGACCACCCTCGCGGGCAACCCACTCCCCACATCTTCAGAACGTTCCTCTCCTTTGTCATGTGGCAGCACCACCTCGATACCTTCTACCGCCACCGTCCCATAATCCTCCTCCATTTTCCTCTCCTGCTGCGCTGGTATAGTAGCACAGGACTGCTGCACCTGGTCACCTTGCTCAGCTTCGTGAGGCGTACCACCTATTAACTGATCGTGAGCAACTAGCGCTTTGCCAGTCACAGTCTCATTAACTTCTCCCTTTGCCCCATCAATTACTGCCGCATCTTGTATCAATACCGATGGCCTTTCTCCATTACCCTCCAAAGGGCCATCAGGCATGTCTGTATTCGACGTCTCTGCCAACCGTAGTTGTGTTGTTCCAGTAGTCTTGGTATGGTGACCAGATGCTCCTCGCAACTCGGGCTTTAAAACATGACAAGTCTCCACATCGTGACCTTGGCGGAAACAATGTGAGCAGTACCTTGGAAGGTTCTCCACCACCAGCTCTTGCCAAAAACCAGCATGATTTCCATTGCCAATCCAAACCCGCGACGGTGTCGAACGCAACAAATCCATCTCAACACACACCCGTGCAACACTTGGCCGTGACACTGCAAGGGTAGCCGCATCAACTAGCAAAGGGTTACCTACCATAGACGCAATCTGGAAAATCACCTCCTTATTGAAAAAGTGCAGCGGGAGTTTTGGTAATTGAAGCCAGAGCGGAACCACCGACGACTCCCTGTCAACATGGAAGTCCGTGGTCCATTTGAATACTCTCATGGGGAAGGAAGACACATACCAGATCCTCCTAAACCATACACGATGGAAATCAGCTTCATTGTTCAACTGAATTAACACATGTCTTACGTCCAACAAGCCCACCACCGGGTTCTCACGTAAATCCAGCGATGCAATGAACTTCCTCACCTCCTCCAACTTCGGTCTACGTCTAGAGAATTTCCCAATCAATGCGAAACGAAATGGACTGGCTAGAGCTTCGACCGCTGCCTGTGGGAAAATCAACGCAGGTTCCCCTTTGTGTGTAGCCTCCTGTGCCGCAAAGGATAGCGTCGGCTGCTGTGAATTCTTCGTGAACAACTCTGAAAAGGATTTGCGTTGAAAGGTAGGAGGGGCAGGCTGCCCTCCATCAGGTGGGCAGATGGCAGCCATGGACTGCCGCACCACTACCCAAGCCGTTCCTTGGAAACCTTAGCACAAAATCCTTAAAGAATGTAGAACTTTTTTCTATTGAACCGGAATGGATTTCACCTTTGGCCGGCTATTGCTCACGATTAGCGAAAGGAAAACGAATGGTAGCGTGAGAGCAATAGAGCAGTTAGTGATCTGTTTTTCGAGGCTATCCTTTTCAGTATCCTTTTCAGCATCCTTTTCAGCGTTTACTTCAGATATCCTTTTCAGTAGCGTGAGTTTCAAGAAATCTTCATTTAATTTTAATACTCTCATTATACAGCACATATTTATCACACCACTTAAGAGATGGTTCAATCCATAGTGATAAATTCTCCTTTGCTTCTCCGATCATTTCAAAGTGTAGACTAACCTGAAACAATCATAGACCAATTTATTTGGTCAGGACTGCAGCCATCTCCACCTCTTCCATCACCATGATACCCTTTGAGACAAGGACATGTGTAGTTGCCCAATGTGTTGTGACAAACACTATTCTTCGTACAATTGCATAGAGTTGGATCTTGGCATTCATTAATATCTGTAGAATTCAATAAAACAAATAGAAAGCAGAAGCATAATTTGAAATGTGAATTGAAACACACATATACATACTGGTTAATTAGACGAGTTTAACAAAATTTTCGCACATACCTTGGCAACCATCAGGAAGATATGGGTTGCCTTCGTATCCTTGATTGCAAGAACAACGGTATCCCAACCCCTTTAAAGGTTCGTAACAGTGACTGTTTTTAATAGAGCATGCATAAGAGGCCGTGTTTCTTTGGGCAACGTCACATGACCCGTCCTCAATGGTCCAATCGGCCACGACGGGAAGACTTAAATCACTGCTTATGTTGGTGAGGTTATCTGCAGAAAAATTGAAAGCCTTCTCTTCGACCACAAAAGCGTGGCTGCAAGGATTGAAATCCCACACGTCGGTGTGGTTACTATAACTGGTCAAGCTCACAGTAATATTCCATGCCCCTGGTGGGATATCTGACCGGCAGCAACCGATGCCGGAACAAGAGCCATCAATTACATCGTCCTTATAATCACAGGAAGGGACACATCCAGTTAGGTAGCTCCGGTTTTGACCAAAACCATAAACTATACCGTAGGCATCACAGCCAACGACAATGAATTTGTTAGCTGTACTATTGAAGGTAAAGCGTTTAGATAATGCCATCCATGGTAAATACTTGTACGATAAATTTCCGTTTTCATTATAGCAATCAGATGCTATATACTGCATAAGGTGCACCTGACCTTCCAGAGATATATCTGTGACATTGATTGTACTGTTTTGCAGAAGTGGTTGAGGGACAGAGGTTGAAGAGTTGGTGCAGTTGATAAAGAATTTTTCGTTAAGGTAACAACCTTCTGTAATACCGAATGGAAATGGAATGCTTACATTTCCACAATGATCTTGGCAGCCGGGCCTTGCTATAGAAAATGTTGGGGATGTCAAAGTTGAAGCGGAAGAGAGCATCAAGGCAATTACCAAATGCAAGACCATCGGTAAAATCAAACGATTGAAGCCCATTGGAATTGTTTTTCAAAGAAGCAAGTTTCCTTATACGGAAGAGAGTTGCAATTGTTAATTGTGCACTGTTAATTGTGCACTTCTAAGGACTTTAAACTTGCGATAGGGAAGACTTAGTTAGTAAACCCACAGAAGGCCTACGCATTTTACGATTGACGCTTCTTCTGTAGACCCCAAATAGGGACGTTTTATAGGCATTCCAAGTAAAGGGAAGACTTAGCCAGTAAACGCACAAAAGGCCTACGCATTTTACCATTGAAACTTCTTCTGTAGACCCCAAATAGGACCGTTAACTTCAAATGAATGCAGTCAAGATATAAAGGAGCATTTGTTGGGCAATAATTTTGAGCTTGATTTGCGTATGGAGTTTACTGGGAAGCTGTCACACTAGTCTCTGTCGACCATGGGGTCCACGTCTTTACGGGGTTGCTTATGCTAACGACATAAAGACTCAGTAAGGGAAGACTTTCAAGTCCACCCTACTCTTTCCATTTATTTACGTGAAAAACAATAAGGGAACCGATAAAATTTTTTCCACTTGATATGAGAAAAAAAATCATAAATGTGTTTTTGGATGTAATGTATGTCATGAAAGTAATTACGATATATGCTTCGGCCGATGAGGTTTTAGTCTGCTTAGAGTGTATTTGATAAAATTGAAATTTGAAAACTGAAATATAAAATTTGAAATCTGAAGGCGAAATTTATTAAATTATTAAATTGTTAAAAATCATATTTGATGCATTTGAGTGTATATCATATTAACTGATATGTGGTTAGTTTTTTAATTATTTTTTAGAGTAAATTTTGTCTAGAATATTCGATGCCACTCAATTAATTCAAAAGTTCTAATTTTTGTTATCAAATGCGTTTGAATATATTAAAATCTGAACTTATTTAATTTAAATGTTGAATCTAGTTATCAAACGGAGGCCTAGGATTGAGATTCCAAGATTTAGAGGGCTTGGGTTCAAATCTCTCCTCTCTTCCCCCGCTTTTTAAATTTCATTCCTCTTCTACTATAAAAAAATTTAAAAAATAAAAAAAAATATATGCTTAGAATGGAAGGATTAAAGAGTAGTTACAATTGACTGAAAATCTCGACTCAAGATAACAATCTTCTGTCATGCCAAATGGGTGTGGGATCTTTACTTTTCCAGAGGTATCAATGCAGCCATCCTTGGCTATAGGAGGGTATGTTGCTGCTGGTGTGATAGCTGGCTTTAAGGACACCGTCAACGCGAAAAGTATCATTTGAACAAGCTTCATCACTGGGGAAACTTTGGACTGTGATGGCTATTTAATTTTGGGATGATGAGTTTTTTTTGGTGTTCTTGGAGAAGGCCATATTTCAATATATAGATCCTTCCCTGAGCAAAGCCACCCCAACATTAGAAAGTCACTCATCCTCAAATTGACTTGGCAAGTTCACTTGACTTATTCTGATACCGTGTGGTATGGGTTCCTGAACGTTACTAATTGCATTTCAGCGCTATTCCCTTTTTTAACACTACGCCATCTTCTGTATATGGACTCTTTACTTTTTTTTCATCATTTGTGCTACAATTGCAACATCAATTCATATGAGCACGAGCTCCAGTCATCGTGGTGGAGGGAACGGAATTTTATCAACTTTTCTGTGTTGAAAATTGTGGAATCAGATGATTGACTTTTCCCTCTATCACCTCTCTAGGTAATAGAAAAATCGCCAGTAGAAAACTTGGTTTTTTTGTCCCATTAGTTTCCCAGCATGTACCCTACTGCCACCACTACCAAACAAATGAACGAAGAATTGCAATTATAGTAGATGAACAGAATAACCTTAAGATTTACCGCGTCTTGGCTGTTGCAATCGTGAATGAACTTATGTTCTTTGCCACTCTACCTTGGCTGCTCGGGATCAGCCGTGTGGAGCACTCTAGGAACTTATTCTCTCGATCCCAAGTATTCCCATAAGTCTAGTCAGTCTCTTTCAGGGACTTCTACCAAATTTTCTGTTTTGAAGATGAATAAATCCGAAGAGAAAAATTGATTGACCTTTTCATCTATCACCTGTCGAGATAATAAGAAAATTTCCAATGGAAGAGTTGCTTTTTCCCACAGAAGAAATATAATAATTTTGGTCCTAAATGTTTAGCACCTGTGTGATTTTAATATCTAAAATTTTTGATAAAAATAAATCTGGTTTTCAATATTTAGAATTTGGACAATTTTAGTCCGTAAAATTTCAATAAAAACTAATCTGGTCTCAAATGTATTTAATCTGAAACCAATCAAAGTACCTAACTCATATATCCAGAACTCATTTTCACTCTCTATTCCAACCCCACTCCCCCTTAAGCAAAAGATTCCCTACAGGTTTTTGTATATAATTTCACAAATTTCTTTATTTTATTTCTATTTTTGTGGTTAATTAATTACTCACGTGTCATCACATAAGTTAATGTTCTTATTGTCTAAAGTCAGTGCTTTTTTATTCCCTTTTTTTATTCAATCTAGTGAACATGTGACTGCAAATAACATGATTTCGTTAGTAATTAGGGAAAATCCGTCCATCACACTAAATTTGCTTCAATTGGAAATATTGGGAACCATATTTATTTTTGCTGAAAGTTAGGAACTAAAATTACACTGGTGCCAAACATTGGAGAGGACTAAATTCACACAAGTGCGAAACACTAGGGACTAAAACTTTATTTTTTTTCCTTTTCCTATCAGTATGAAATAACCCTAAGTTGGTTCACCACATCTTAATTAGTCGATGCAATCGTGAATAAACTTGTGTTCTTGGACACTCTAGTCTCATAAAGACTGCTAACCTGGTGCATAAATATAGCCTGCACATGCATTAGCTGATGGCATGTGAAGCACTCCTAAAACCTAGGATGGTTGACGTACAATTGAATGCAGTCATCAAGATTCCAATTGGATTTTAGATATCTCTATGGGGATTATTGAGAATAATTAGATAGATTGTAGAAAGAATCAAAGGGAGAGATAGAAGCAGAAGCAAGAAGCAAGAATAATAGGGAAGGAAGAAAGGAAGAAGAAGGTGAAAGAAAGAAACAGAGATGGAAGAATATTCAATGCAAAAGGATTGGGACTTGCATTCACTCCGTAGCTGATTACAGCTTCCTCATACAATGACTATTTATAGGCTAGTATACTCTCTTCCATTAGTAGGATCTAACTAACTGCTATAACAACAAACCTAACCAATTGATACAATTGAAATTGAACTATTGGCTAATACATGATTGCTAATGTATCCTCTGATGAAGCTTGATGCTTTTTGCTAAGACAACAAATGAAGAACTGTTTGTTGGTCTATGATTTCGAGCTTGATTTGCTTATGGTGTTTACTGTAGAAGTTGTCACAGTAGCCTCGGACGCCTTCGAGTGGTTGCTCATGCTACAAGTCAACGACATAACAAAGCTGTCAAGGAAAGATTTCCAAGTCCACCCTAGTCTTCCTATTTATTCATGTTTTTTTTAAAAAAAAATTATTAACCATACTTTGTTCATAATTTTCACTTGATATGCGTGAAAATTCACAAATGTGTTTTTGGATGCAACGTATGTCATGAAAGTAATTAAGATATATGTTTGTAATGCATATCTTCTAATATTTAGTCTGTGGAAACCAATATTTTAGTAATTGTGGGTCAGTGTATTTCTCTCTAAAATTCATTCTCTCTTTCTTCTCTTTAAGGCTCCTCTAACAAAAATGGCCTTCAAATCTGATCTTTCTCCATAGGAGAGAACCTTTTTTTATACCTTTTATTTGCTTTTTTAAAATAAATTCCCTCTAGCAAGGAATTTTCTTTGCTAGCATTTCTTGGTAAGTATTTCTTCTCTCCTAATTTTTTCTAGTGAAAATTTTATTCTATCCTAGGATTTCCCTTGTAAGAAATTTTTCTCTTTTTTTTTTGTCTTTTTTTCTATGAGATTTGAGATTTCATATGGCTTCCTAGATTTGAAAATTTTCACATCTACCATGTTAGCTGAATTTCTCCTTGGGCTTCAATCATTTTTTAACAAATGTTATTTTTAAAAACATGCACAAATCTTTTGAGTTATAGTGATTCACCTGGATGCATGGAAGATGTTTTGGAGATTTAATGTTTTTCATATTCATTAATATCTATTTGCTCAATAGATAGATTGAGATTTCATATTATTTACTAGTTTTGGAATTTCTCACATCTCCTATGAAAGCTAAATTTCTCTTTGAGTTTTAGGCATTTTTATCAGATGATTGTTAGAAAATTGCACAAATCTATTGGACTGCAATGATTTATCCAGATGGAGGATGTTTTGGAGCTTCTACTTTAAAAAGGATGCTAAGGACTAATGGCATTTGCCATTCTGTTACCAAGCTTTTTAGGTATATGACAAAAACCTTCTTGAATTACCAAACTATCTTTAGAAAGAAAAAAAAATACAAAATTAATGAAATCCTAATTACCACTTTTTTCGATTCCACAGTATTCATCTTTTCAGTCATAACCAAACCCTAGATCCTGAGCACTTCTATGGCAAAGAAAAAATGAAGGAAGACAAGTGCACAATTTGATAGGTTGACTAAAGATCAGAAGTGTTCAAAATATTCACCAATACAAAACGCATATGACATTGTCTCTACGTTCATTATTCTATTTAGAATTTCAAGCAGCAAATTTCCCAATAGTAGTTTAATTTTTTTGAACGACAACTTCATCATTTTGTTGCATCTAGTATCGATAGTAAAAGAGTGGGATTAGCAATAATGGAAATCAGCCAAAGGCTTTGAGATGATAGCTTCTTAATTCTCTTCTAGTACATAAATATTATGATATGATTTTATTGTTTGTTCAATAAATCAATAGGATTTATATCAGGAAAATTAACTTTTATTAGTAGTGATAAAAGTCAAAAAATATGAACTTTTCATGCAATAATTGAAATGTCAACACAAAATTCCATCTACAGCT